AAAGAAAACAATGAAATCAAGTTGTGCAACTTCTGAAGGTGATGGTAATAGACCCAATTTCTCTCGAGCTCAAGAGCTTCACCTCTTCTTCTCCTCTCAAACAAGATGTCTTTCCTCTTTCAGGTAAGCAAAAGTTCAAATCTTTTATACAAAAAATAATCTTATTCTCGTGTTTATACAAAAATAATTTTGTTTAGTTCCTGATAATATTTCTGAGATGTAGGATGCCTGAACACGATCGACAAGCAGAGTGGAGCTTGCAGAGCTTCGTTCTTGAATCTGGAGAAATCTGAAACACCTGTTTCTCGTTGGTTACAAGCCATGACTATGGCAGCAATGGTACATGAAATACATGAGCAATGCTAGGGGCACTCGCTTTTTGCACTCTCCGGTAAACACTTTCTCTTTTATTGGGCCACGTTATCTTGGTTCTCGAGAAGTTGCGCCTGAAAGCTTTAAAGAAGCTTACGTGGCCCAATGAAAGGGGAAGTGCTGGCCGGAGAGTGCGAAAAGCGAGTGCCCCTAGCATTGCTCGAAATACATTATTACTGTTTCTTTTTCTTGTTTGGTCTGACTATATACACAAATATTTTTGGTTTAGTGGTCAAATAGTTTATGCTTCTTTTAACATTACGATCCATCAAAAATCACAGCTTCTTGTAAAGTTGGTGAAATAAATTAGTTAGCAAAGGGGATAACTTTTAAAGCCTGAACTAGGGTTAACATGTGAGATTTTCTTTGCCCGAAATTATATAACATGCTTGCATTTGATGTGAGAAGGGTAGCTCTTAAAAATTATTTTTGGCCACATATATATTATAATAGCTATATAATATTGCAGGTTGGGAAGGGTCTCTTAGTGGACAATATGGCTCAACACTTACATGATAGACAATGGGTTGAAAAGGTCAGTTCACACACACTTTAGGGTAATAATTCACGTACATTTGGATTTCTTCTTCGCATACATGGTTCACTTTTATTTTACTATGTACGTATTTATTTTTGGATTTAAATATCATTTTGGTCCCTCAACTTATCACTTTAGCATCAAAATTGTCCTTCAATTTTAAAAAATATTAAAATTACCCTTAAATTTTTATTTCCAATACTAAAACACATCAGTTAAATGCACGTGACACGTTTTCTTGCCAACAAATCAACTCCCTTTTTTCTTGCCAATGACATGGCTATCCTTTTGATGAGTTGGCATTTTTTGTTTAATTTAAAAAAAAATGATGCTTTTTGCTTTCATCCTCGTCAGGAAAAAAAATAGTGATCTCTACTTCCTCTTTCAGTTTCTCTCTCCTTTACCTTTCCTTTTCCCTCACCTCTGCCAACCCAACTCTGGGTTTTCTCTCTGAAACTTCATCTTCTTCCTCCTTTCTTCCTTCGAACAGTTTTGCCTCCTCATTCTCTATCAACCTTCCTCCTTCCTTTCCCTGCTCATCCTTCTTCCTTTTTATTCTTATTCTTTCTCTCTATCTCTTCTCCCTTCTTCTTCCTCTTTCAAACCCAGATCAATCTAGTGAAAATTCATACATTAAAATAGAAAATACAAGTAATAAACACCATACAACTAACAAATTTATTCATTAACATACCGCTCCTACATTTTTTTCACAAACACCACACACAAATTCACCGAAGCCTCTAAAGACCCACCGACGATCATCACCAACAAACTAAAATAATAAGGATAACGAAAGCCTAAAAACCTAGAAGGCTAAAACCCATCAATTTCCTTATGTAAACGACAATTTCAATTTGAAAAGGAGCGAGCTGCGACCGCTTTCTTCATTCTTTAGCTCTTCAGCTCCCAGCACCTTCAAACTTTCTTCACAACCTTTTTGAATCTGAGCTATGAAAGCAGGAAAATGTGCAGCAAAATTTTCTCACCTTTTTCTCAGCAACCAAACAAGACCTTAACAGAACACAGAAAATAGCCGGAAAAAAAATGAAATAACATGGAGGATGGACCACTTGATAGTTCAAACAAACTCGAGATTCAAAAATCGATTAAGTTAACTAACAAACACCAAATCTACAACTCAAAAGATCC